CCCCAAAACCCCAAAACCCCAAAACCCCTTTTCTTGTTGAACGCTTGAATTCTGACACAACATGAATTAATTCGTGGTTTTTAAACATGCTAGATAAGATCTGATAACTTCCCTTTAAGCTTTAGCTTAGGAATTCATGCTGGCGCATACTTGTCCTTCTTGGATAGCTTTTGGAAAGGAGACAATTTAGCAACTCTGTTTGAACCAAGATCTGGGGATTTAGTCTGTTCTCAGGTGTTTACAGAAAACACTTTGTGTTTCTGCAAATTGGGACTTTGTACATGTTCTCTGAGGTTGGGTAGCTTCTTGTTGAGATTTTTATATCTCTTTAAGCCATTGATAATATTTTTCCTCTTTCCATTATTAGTCTGATAAGAGCTGTCCTTGATATTAAACCCTTTGTTATGACTAAAGCTCTTGCTATGAGTTCCGAACGAGGATAAATTGGAAGCTCCTTGAATTTTCCTATTTCCGCTGAAAATTCTTTTGAGGGAGTCGAGCACCAGCAGAGAACTTATTTTCCAAAATGCCTCTCTCGTCCCAGAAGTTATTTCAGTTATTAAATGTGCCTCCAATGCCTCTGTCGGTATGGAATCCGTGGTATTCGCCAGGAGTTCCACCTAATACTGAGAGGATCTCCTTTCGGTCGATAAAAAGCTTTTTATTTTTATGCCTAAATTTTCTTGGGATTGCACCATCAATTCCCTCTGTTGAGATATTCCTACTCTTATCCACTTGTTTAAATCATGCTGTTTCCTCTAGAAAGGGCTTGATAGAGCTCTCATAGCTTGGAACTTTTGAAAAGCTGTTTCTGAGGTCTGGCGGAGTCATGATGTTCTTGCAAACTACCATATTTCTAGTCGACCTATCTTACGTTAGTTTTACAAAATAATCGCATAAATTTAGAAAATTTAGTTACTTCATCTGGCTACGATTTGTTAATCTCTGGTCTTTCATGAACTTCCTGACCCTATCTTGTGGATAATCTCCAGAATTAAGGTCTTGAATGGAGTTGCTACCCAGCATGGCCCTGCCAGAAATAGGATCTATGACGATAGATCTCTCACTAACAAACAAAGAGTTCATTAAGTTTTATTTTTATAGATCTTATCAATTAAATTATTTACAGATGGGGTTTTGGGGTTTTGGGGTTTTGGGGTTTTGGGG